CCTTGGGTGAATCACTAATCTCTATGAGCATTACTTTTCTCTAAACCTTACTCTCTTGATCAGTAATAAAAGACGTTTGAGCTCCAAAGTCTTGTTCAGTTTTAACATGTTGGGTTAATTCCTTTCCAACAACCTTGGTAAGTGGCACCACCATACATCCATTCTTGATTTTTTCATTTCCTGACCTCCTATCAAAAGTGCTATTGTACTCTGAAACATACCTGGAATTGATCTGCTTCTCCCCATCTTTACTACCTCCAATCTAATCCAAACCACTGTAATTTCTTATCTCTACTGCAACAGCCTCTTAACTTGCATTCTGCCTCTTCTTTTACCCTTCTGCAGTCCATTCTTTGCATGGAAACCAGAGTAAGCTTTTTAAAACATAAGTTAGATAACACGGTACTTGACTCAAAACCCTTCAATGGTATCCCATTGTTCTTCAGAAAAAATCCAAACTTTTTACCCTTCTCTATACAGCTCTGTACCAAATGGTCCTTGCCTCTCCTTCCATATACAAACCACTCTCCCTTCATTCATTCAGATTCAACACCATCCACACTCACTTCCTTGCTCAAAATTCCTCTCCCATTCCAATCCCTTTGCACCAGCTGTCCCCTCTGCCTGAAATGTTCTTCCCCTAACATTTCTAATGGTTAGGTCCCTCTTATCTTCCAGGTCTCTGTTCAAATGTCATTTCCTCACAGATACCTTCCCTGACCATACAACTTAAAGTAGGTAGGTCACCTCTTTAATTACTAACAAATCTCACTATTTCTTTCACAGTAATTATAAATACATAATTATTTTGTGTATTTACTTGTTTATATTTCACCCCTGCCCTACTAGCATGTTAACTGCACAAGGGCAGGGACCGTGACTGTCTTGATTTCAGCTATATCCTCAGCTCTTGATATGGTACTGAAAGAAATCTCTACCCCTTCTTTCTTCAAAAAGCCTTTCTTTTTTTCTGAGATGGAGTCTCACTCTGTCTCCCAGGCTGAAGTACAGTGGCACAATCTTGGCTCACTGAAATCTCCGCCTCCCGGGTTCAAGCAATTCTCTCACCTCAGCCTCCTGAGTAGCTGGGACTACAGGCGTGCACCACCACACCCAGCAAATTTTTACCTTTTTAGTACAGATGAGGTTTCACCATGTTGGCCAGGCTGCTCTCGAACTCCTGACCTCAGGTGATCCACTTGCCTTGGCCTCCCAAAGTGCTGGGATTACAGATGTGGGCCATCAGACGCAGCCAAAAAGCCTTTCTTGATTAATATCATTGAATTCTTTCTTTCAGAATCCCTTCAATATTTGTATGTTAAAGAGTTTGTACTACTTGTATCCCCAGTCTATGACTGTTTTATAAATGTGGTTAAGTGGTTCTCATTCGTTTATTGACATATTGGCTTTCCAAGGGATGTCCTGTTTTTCAACATACATAGTACTGACCAGGTACACTGGCTCATGCCTGCAATCCCAGCACTTTGGGAGGCTGAGGCAGGACTGCTTGAGGCCAGGAGTTTGAGACCAACCTAGTAACACAGTGAAACTGTGTCTCTACAAAAAAAAAAAAAAAAAAAAAAAAAAAAAAAAAAAATTAAATAAAAATTTAATGTGGTGATATGGATGGCTAATCTATAGGGCACACCACACAGACCTGCTCCAATAGACAGATTCTGTTCAGGTATTTTATGGTAAGTTTGCTTTACTGTGTTCAACCATCTTTCTCCCAGCCTCATTCCTAATTCTAGTCAGTTTTGAAAAAGCATTTAGCTCTGATCAGAAGCAATCATATGTAGGAAAGAAAAACTCTATTGCCAGACAAGTAAGAATATGTTCTAATGCATACAGGTAAGTATGATATCATTTAGGAAAGACAGCACATTATCACATAACATGACTATTTTTAAAAATTAAAAAGTCCTTAGCACAATGAGAAAAACTTTAATGAACCTGGTAGCTAAAACAAGATAAATTACAACAGGCAAATTTACAAGAATGGAGATGTTTTTCTCCAGCTTCATCGAGTTTAAAAAAAAAATCAGGGCTGGGTGTGGTAGCTCATGTTTGTGATCCCAGCACTTTGGGAGGCTGAAGCGGGCAGATCACTTGAGATCAGGAGTTCAAGACCAGCCTGTGCAATATGGCAAAATCCCATCTCTACAAAAAATACAAAAGTTAGACTGGTGTTGTGGTGTGCACCTGTAATCCTAGCTACTCAAGAGTTTGAGATGGGAGGATCTCTTTAGCCTGTGAGGTCGAGGCTACAGTAAGATGTGACTGCAGCTGCATTCCAGCCTGGGCAATAAAGTGAGAACCTGTCTCTTAAAAAAAAAATCAAATATAATATTACTCACTCATATCTCTGGTTTTAGTTCTTAATCTAATACAGAATGAACAATATAAGATAAAAGGATAAATGCAAAGGGGCCAGACAAAAATATAATTTCCACAGAAGACTTTGTATCAGCCAACTCCATATACACAGAAATAGGCAAAGGCACTTTCCTGGGGCCAAGACAACATGACCCCCTTTGATTTCCTATGGTTGCCTTCTGCCAGTCCTAAAAGGGCTGGCAGGCTGATCAAGCAGTGAACATTACAGAAACAGCATAGTAAGAGGTAGATAATTCAGAAATCCCAGCAGTATAATTTAAATATTGGTTACTAGTAGGAGGGAAAACAACCTACAACCTTCATAAACCCAAAAGTCAATTACAACTAATTTTTCCTCTCTCTTATCTCCCTCTGATGCTATCCTCTCCCTTTTCTTGGACCCCTTCTGTCGAGATCATACTATAAACTACTTCAAGTAAGAACTATTCAATTAATTTTAGCATCCTCCAAATTTCCCTTGCAGTGAGAGAAAACTGAGTCAACACTAGTCTATCCCAGATGTATTTATAAAGTAAAACAATAATAATGTACTTCTAAGGTCACTTCTAAGATTGTACTGAGGCTGCAACAACAGTTCCAAGAGTTTAAGCATGCTGCCTCACCCCAGTGCTTGCGGCTCTCCTAGCCCTACCTCAGTCTGCCTCGGTTTCTGTAATCTGGCTGTTCTGTGCAATCACTTGTACACTGTAGGTGTGAAAACAGTGAGAGAGGGAAATCAATTCCATGACGGTGGGGCACAGAAAGCATGAACCATGATTCAGAGCCTCACAGTCAACTGCCATGTGTATGTGTCATACTCAAGGCAATATCCTGCTTCTTGAGGCTCCTTCCTCTTTTCAGCCTGCTGCCTGTGCTCTATGCTATCAGCCCTTCGTGACTCAACTGAGACAGACGGGAGTCAGAAAAGTGGATGGAATTCCTACACAGCATGAAGTAGTATAAGAAATCCTAGGCAGAAGGAAGCTAAGGTAGCTCTCAGGGCTAGGAAACTCCTTGACAACCAAGGACAACCAAATCCAGCATTTAAAAATTCCATATTTTAATTCTTCTCTTAATATAATACTTCCTTCTTTATTGATTGACAAGCATTCTAGGAACTAGGATAGGATTATTTGGCCTGAAGGAAAGAATATTTCTCGAACCTGATTTGTTAAATGAATCAAGATTGCTTTAAAGTAAAAGAAGGGAAAAGAGAGTTACCTCTTTTGCAGGAGCACATTTCAATCACTCATCACTCTGGGTTAGCATAAATCAGGGAAACTATCCTGTGGCTTGTGCAAAAAGCAAAGCAAAACAAAAAAACACAACTTTCAAAAAACAGAGTAACTGAAGTAGACAAACCCTGCACAGAAGCAACTAATGGCAGGGAGGAGAAAATTATACTGGTACCTGTGTGTCATTAGAGCTGTTAAATTAAAAACAAACAAACAAACAAACAAAAAAACGTAATGGATGCAGAAGCTCTGCCCTCCTGGGGCCAGAAATGGCAATTTCAATGAATTAGAGCTAACAACCACATCCAAAATTAAACATTTCAAAAGCTTAAAATAAAAAATACTAGAAAAATTATGCAGAGCACCTATTTCATTTGTTAAAAGACATTTAATTAGCGTTTCATACATTACCACCCAAATGAACAAAGCGATTGTGAAATTCAAGAAAACAATCAAACTACAAGAAAACTCCAGATAAAACTACAAAGTTAAACATAAACTTGGCCCAGGACCACTACAGAGGCTGAGGGATGACAGATACAGTTCTTTATATTGGTCACCCTTTCATTCTATAGAAAGAGGACAGTACCATTTTTTACCCCAGGGCCCCTGTCCTGGAGTGCTTCTACTTAATGCCAAGAAAAACCGTGCTAGAAAAAAAGACTGCAACCACCCCAGCCCCAAATGCACACATTAGCTGGTCGGTAAGATGGAGCAGCCTGGCTTCCTCCCTCTGCTCACTCCTTGGGGGCAGGGCTTGAAGAGAAGAGAATGATGAAGAGATGTTGGGGGTTCAGGAAACCTTCACATTCGACCACTTTTCTCTCTCCCCATTCAGGATGGAAGGTCAAAGGTACATAGGACCAAAACTAGAGAAGTGGATTTTGCATAGGGGGACAATGGATTCAACAAAAATCTTCTGGATCTGGCAACTGTCAAAAAAAAAAAAAAAAAAAAAAAAAATCCCTTTCCACTTCTTTCCCCCTCACACGAAGTCATTAGGAATCACCTCTGTCTGGGTCATAGAACCAGCCACACAGCGTAGAAGGCACAAGCCCCACGAACAAAATCCGGTATTATTTTGAATAAGGGGAGAGAAAGAAGACCCGAGGGCAAGAGGGCAGGGCAGGACCTCTTCCTTCTTCTGGAGAGGAGACATCCAGGGAGGAGGTACAGCCGAGGGGAGCGCGAGCTGAAAAGCTAGGACGGAATCCCCACCGAAACCGCAGCAGGGGTGCTGGAAGGGGAGGAATCCGCGACGCAGCGACCGCGAGCCAAGGGCAGCGGCGGGCCGGGCCGTGACTCAGTGAAAGCCGCAACCGCCGGGCCTCAGAAGACCGCGGGCTCGAAGCCGCCGGGGCCAGGGCAAGAACGGCGGCGGGGGCTCACCGTGTCCTTGGACGAGCCCAGCTTCTTGAGGCCGTCCAGGGGCAGCAGGTCGGCGGAGTCCTTGTGGATGAACTGCACAGCCTGCTTCATCCGGCGCTGCTGTCGCAGCGACGCCGCCTCCCGCATGTCGGTCTCCTTGCGGCCGCCCTCAGTGAGGAGCCCTGAGTAAAACATCCTTGAGGCGCCGGCGGCCCGGTCGCCCGCGGCTCCCCAGCAGCCTCAGCCTCGAGCTCGAGCTCCTCCAGCGCCGCAAGGGCCCCGCGCCGCGCCTTTTATAGCCGAGTGTGACGTCGCGTGGAGCAGCCAGTGCGCGCGCGGGGGGCGGGGCCGGCACAGAGTCCACGCCCCGCGCGGCTCCCTGGTGTCCCGCGTGCCCTGCTCACCCGGTGGCAAAGCGGGAGAGGAGGAGGCGGCGCTGGTGGGAGTGACCCGGCGGGCCGAGAATCCACCGCGGCCTCTTCACCCAACCGCCCCCTCCTGCGTGGGAGCCCCGCATCCCTTGGACGGGTGTGGGGTCTGGGGCCCGATGCCCTGGCAGCCCCGGCCATCTCCGCCGCTGGCCGCGGGTCCCTGCTCACCTGTCCACGCCGTGGCCGACCCGGGGATAACCGACAGCCGGGCCATGACTCGAGTCCCGCCGCCCGCGCCGCTGCTGGGCTTCTCGGAAACGCACCTCCACACCGCCAGCCGGGGCTCCAGCGCCCACCGCCCGGGCCCGGAGGACTGACGGCTCCCTTCGAAGTTGGGAGCTGTCGGGATTTTTCCAACTTCAGGTCGGTCCCCACCCACCGGGCCACGTGACTGAGGAGGGGGCAGCCGGTGCAGGCGTGTGGAGGAGCCTTTCGGGACCTCCTCCCCCGGGCACCCTCTGCCTGCAGCCGGGCACCCGGCCCGCGTTTCCGAGCCGGGGGAGCAGGTGCGGTCGGAAGCCCGCGGGCGGGCATAGAACAGGGGAGTGGCGAGGGTCCCCCACCTCCGCGGGAGCGCACGCGGCTGCGAGCCCTACATCTGCTCTCCGACCAGAGAAGCACCTGTTTTTCTCAACAAGTGCTAGGACTTACCATCTAAAGAATCATTCACCATCCCTCCAGCGTCCTTAGTAGGAGCGATTGGAACCCGTTTTTCTTCTTGAATACATATTTTTAAGCCTTTCTAATCAGGCTTCAGGCATCCTGGATTCTGGTCTCGACGTTGTGATTTGGTACAAACCACGTTTCCATTCTGGAAACCACAACAACCCCCTCCATCCCATCACACAGGAGCAGACCTGGATGAGAAATATGTGCACTCAGCAAAGAACCAATGATAAAAGTAACAATATCGACGCTTACTGGGCCTTTACTATGTGCCAGGTACTGGAATAGACACTTAAAATGTAGTATCTCATTGGATCCTGGCAACAGCTTGTAAGATAGTATTCTCATCACCCCCATTTTACAGGCAAATGCCTGATACCTTCTGTCTGGCCTCCTGAATGCTCCCTAGTTCCATTCCAATCCGTTGTTCACTGTGCTGCCAGAGTAATCTTCTCAAACAATAAGTGTGATCATCTCACTTCCCTGCTAAGAGCACCTCAAAAGGCTTCCTATTGCTCTTAAGAGAAACCCACATTCTTGCATGGTCTGCCTAGACCCTGCATATCCACTCTGTGCTTCAGCCTCATAGCCCTTCTTCCAGTTCCTTCCAGTCACCTGTTGCCAAATGGCCTGCCTTTGACTGTCCTGCTCCCTCTGTGTGCAGTGTCCCCTCCTACCTTCTTCAGGAAACTCCTATGCTTCTTCCAGACCTCAGCTCCATTATCATTTCTTTAGGAAAGCCTTCTCTGACCTTCCAGAGAGGGTGAAGTCTCTCTAATTATATACTATGTATCTCTTGGGCATTTCACTTTCTGTGGGGGTAGGGGTAGGGGGGTACTGGTTGTTTAATTTGTCTCCCCCACTGATTGGAACCTCCAGGAAGGTGACTGAATCCGTTTTTTGCTTAGCATTGATGCCCTAATATGCAGATAATTCTCAATAAATACTAGTGAAAGGATGGCAAAAAGTTAAGGTCATACCAAAGAAATCAAGTGGTAAAGCTGGCATCTACTCCCAGAACCTGTGCTGGACTACCTAGATCTGGAGAGACTGGGTTTGACCTCATGAAGTTGCTACTTTTCCTCTGTTCTGCCTTCAACACTTGCCCCAGTTTCAGACACTGTGGGAAAACAAATCCAGAAGGCTGCTCACTTGGCTTCAAGGAAGCCCCAGGGCTGGATTCTTCCCTGTGTGCCCACCCTCTACTCTCCCCTACACACGGAGGACAGGGTTTCTAGGAGACAGGTGGGATTGCTGCTCACCTTCCAGTCCCCTGGCACACTTCCAGCAGTGAACAACAGTGGCTGCCCTGGCCCCTTCTGTCCCATCACCTGGATCCCTGCCTGATAACTCCTCCAGGTGTGGGTCACCCAGGGAACAGTGAAAGACAGCTTTGCCTTGTCTATCTAGGATAGGTGCCTCTGAGCTTGGCAAAGCATCAGGACAGGTCCAACAGTGAGGGCCCCTAGGGCTAGGGCTGGGACAGTGACTTTCCTCAGGGAGGAAGCCAGGCAGGTAGACACTCTCGGGGGGAGTTGGAATCCCCATTCTTCAGGCTGCTCAGCTCAGTCCTGCAGCCTTTTTTGCTGAGGATGTCCTGACAGAAGAAAGGGGCTCTTTTCACAGTTAGATCCCCCTGGGAACACTAGGAAGCTGAATCTCTCTAGTTGAACTGGAATTTACCCATATCAGGTGTTGCTGAAAAATAAATGGGGCCCGGCTGGAACTGGGAATCTTTTTGTGAATTCAGAGCTCTTTGGTGTAGTGGCATTTGTGTTCTGCAGTTGGGTCTGTGGCTGTAATACCTGTTGGTCCCCTCACCTGTCTGAGGCCTTCCTTGGACAGACTGATACCGTCACCGTCCTCAAGACTGCCTGCTTAATTTAAGGAGAGTTATCTCTGGGTGGTTTATCCTGTTTGCCCAAATGACTTTGAGTAAATCACTTCCTACCTCTGAGCCTCAGTTTCCATATCTGTAAAATGGATGTAGTGAGATTGCATATACAGTTATGCTTTGTCAACTCTCTAGGGCTGTACCAACAGAAAAGATTATTATTAATCCTCCGTATAGCCAACCAACCTCCCCTGCCTCAGTGACCCATCTTGGAGGAAGTAACATACAATATGGTTGTTAAAAACACAGGTTTTGGAGTCTAATACACTAGATTTGAATCCCTGCTCTGCTGCTTACTAGCTATGTGACCAGTTAGTTACTGCACCATTGTGAGCTTTCAGTTCTTCATCTAGAAAATTGTGCCAATATGTCTACTTCTCAGGGCTGCTGTGAGAAATAAAATGATAGTATAATACACTGGTCATGTAGCATAGGCTCAGCAGAAGGTAGCAACCATCATTACCTGGAACAACTTCAGGAAAAATTGTAGGTTGCAGAACTCTCAGATTGGGGCTGGCCTATCCCTTCTCCAGGCTTCCCTACAGAGCTTCAGACACGAAACCAGACTTGAGCATCATACCCTGTCCCTAGAGTGAAGGCCTCCTGAGGCAGGGGCTGGCCAGCTCTCTTCCTCTCTTCAGTGTCTCCAGAGTCTGGATTTTCCATGTGCAATGGCTCTATCCTAAACTTCTCTGCATCTTCCCTTGGCTGTTATAGAAGATCTGTACTTGAAAATCATACTAGAAAATCCAGTACTGTTTCAGTTAGAATGCTATTCATGTTATTCTTCTTATAAGTGACAGATAGCCAGTTGAAAATTTCTTATGTGAAAATGTAAATTTGTGGTCCCCTTAATTTAAAAGTGCAGGACTTCAGGCATGGCTGGATCCAAAGACTCAAATGGCATTATCACTGTGTTTCAGCTCTGCTTTCCTCTGAGCTGATGCCCCTATAGGCAGGCCCTTCTTGTCTGATGGCTATTTGCGGCTCTAGGCTTACAACCTATTCTCCCAGCAACCCTCTTTTGGGTCTTCAGCTGACAGAGAGGCCTTTAAGAATGAGAAACAGGATGAGTGCTGAGGCTGGGAGGCCTGAAAAGTAGAGGAGAAGAACAGAGGATAAAGGGGAAACTGCCAAGAAATTTTCCTCCCCATTTCCTCCCTACTCATGCATATTGCCCTTGGCCATACCCTGAAGTTAGAATGGCCACTCTTAGGACCCTCTTCATGCACTACCCCATTCTTTCCTCCTCAGATGTCCTCACCACTACCCCAACCCCCTTTGGCAGGAAGATTCTTCAAACAGTTATCCAGATGTGTGCCAGGATCTCTGGCCACATGGTACCCCTGATTGGCACCCAGCCCTGAAGACTGTGTCTGCTTTGGCAGGTTAAAGCAAGAGATATTTCTGTCCTTTTCCTTCAGAGTGATTGCCAACATCACCATGGCCTCAAGAAACAGGGCTGATGGCAGCTCTGCTGGTGTTTTCCAAAGTTGCCTGGGTCTTTTTGATCCATTACAGTCAGCAATGATTTGGTTTCATTTCCCGAGATGAGAACAGGCTTTGACCTCAACTCAGACAGCAAAAGAGGAGAAACAATGGAAAGAAAGAAAAACTCAGTATCTGAAGGAAGTGTGTCTGGTGGAAGTGGGGAAGTGGGGAGTCTAGGCTTGGCTTTGAATCTGGCTCCACCCTTCGCTTTCTGTGGGACCTTGGCCAAGTTACTGAAGCTCTCTGAGTCTCAGTTTACCCATCTTGCAGGGTTCTGTCTCATTTGAGTGAAATAATATATAAAGGCACAAAGTGGGCTCTCAATAAATATGTCCTGTTCCTCCTCTTTCCTTGCCCTCTCCAACATAGGTAGGGAACCCAGAAAAAGAGTGGCCCTTCTGAGCCTAACGGGAAACTCTTCAGTATGGAAACAAGAACTCTGAAGATGGCAAGTCTCTCAGAATACAGCAAAGCATAGGCCTAACCCACCTGCTCCATATATCTTTATGTCATCCCCAGCCAGAGGGGACAAGGCCTGTAGAGTGGCTCACACTGATGAGTAACCTGTCTACCTCAAGAGCACTGAGGGCTCTACCTCCTTCCCCCCAGTTAACTAAGCATGTTGCTCGGATGTGATGGTGTGCATGCTGGGCAAGCCACAGGAGCTGGGGGCCAGTGGCAGCAGAGAGGTGAAGTGCTCTGTGGAACATGTGTAGACTCCCAGGTGTACAAACACGTGCACACGCTCATGCTCATAGTGTTCCCTCTGACCAGTTTTCACACTGCTCTACACTGCCCAAAGAGAAAAGTCATTCAAGATTCTTTACAAACTTTTAATTTGTAAAAAAAATTTGAAACTTACAAAAAGTTGCAAACATAAAAATAGTAGAAAGAACACCTGTATATCCTTTTCACAGA